ACAGTATTCATATGCAGTCTTCATATACGCATCTGTAATGGGAAGTAATCCCTGCAAATAAATCCCTACGTAAAAATCTCTGCATATCGACAGAAACGTAAGTCCCGGCTAAATTTAAAAAGAGGGAACATGAAGAGAAAGATGCACAGAAGTCAGTGATAGCAAGCTACGAGAAGGAATAAAGTCAAATGAGTTAAAACCTAAACTAAGGCAACACTACTTCGCTAACCTAGTTCTAAGCCTTCAAAATTTCCAATGATAGAAACGTATAAAAAGTAGAAGTCAGGGAAAATTACTACAAAGGCATTAAAAATAAGACAGAGATGCTACACCCTATGGTTGTGACACATACTACTCGGCTACCCTGGTCTTAAGTCTCCATACTTTCCTATCAGAGGTCATGTCCTCGGTAAGTGCTAAATCCTTCAAATTAGCTCTCAAGCAGTCTGCCCACTTCCTCCTTGGTTGTCCTCTCCTTCTGGCACTGTCGGCTGTAATCGACTCTGCCCTCCTGACTGCACCCGACGGTTGTCGCCTAAGGACATGCCCAAATCACCGTAGTCTTTCCTCCCTCAATTTTTCGGATACAGACACCACCCCCAAGGACATCCTAATTGCAGAGTTTGGTGTCATGTCCCACAGAGTCCTACCACATGCCCATCGAAGCATTCTCATTTTTGTGGCCTCCATCCTCATTACGTGACCCTTTTTGATTGCCCAACATTCTGATCCATACAGCAGTGATGGTCTTATTGTCATTCTGTAAAATTTTCCCTTAAGTTTTAGAGGCACCTTCTTGTCACACAAAACTCCAGTAGCAACCCTCAACTTTAGTCATCCCGCCTTTATACGGTGTGCAACGTCATCATTTACACCCCCATCTTTATGTATCATAGATCCTAAGTACTTGAAACAATCTTTTGAGGGGAGAACGTGTCTTTCGATGCCTACTTCTACATCTTCATCATTTTGGTTCCCACTGAAGTCTGAACATAAATACTATATCTTATCAATATTGATTCTTAGACCTTTTTCTTCCAATGCAGTCTTCCAGGTAGCCAGTCTACTATTCAGCTCAGTTTTTGTTTCAGCAACTAGGACAATGTCGTCAACGAAAAGCATACACCATGGAGCACCGTCTGGTGTCGCACAATAGATGTCATCCATAATCAAGGCGAAGATGTAAGGGCTAAGAGCCGACCCCTGGTGGAGTCCGATTTCCACCGAGAAAGCCTCGGTGTCGCCAACTGTAGTCCTGACGTATGTAGTAGATCTACAATACATATCACGAATCGCCCGGATATAAACAGTTGGGATCTGTCTTGTTTCCAAGGTCTTCCAGATCGTATCGTGGGGAACGCTATCATACGCCTTCTCAAGGTCAATGAACGCCATGTGAAGATCTCTATTTTTTCCCTATATTTCTCCATAAGCCTTCGAAGTAGATGAATCGCCTCCGTAGTAGACCTGCCTGGCATAAAGCCAAATTGGTTTTTCGAAACCCTAGTAACCTGTCTCAACCTAGCCTCTATCACCCTTTCTCATAGCTTCATAGTATGACTGAGTAGTTTAATATCTCTGTAGTTACCACAACGTTGGGGATCTCCTTTATTCTTATAGATTGGTATCACCATAGACTCTCTCCACTCCTCTGGCATTTTGGCAGTCTCTAAAATAATATTAAAGATGTGGGTCAACCACTTAACTCCCTCTTCTCCTAGGGCCATCCACACAGTGATAGGAATTTGATCTGGACCGACACCTTTGTCCCTCCCCATCTTTCTAAGAGCCATTTTGACTTCCTCAATTCCAATCCTACTTGTAGGGAACTCATTGGTCATAGTATGATGGTCGGCTGACCCATCAACGGTATTATCTCTACAGGGAGAGGCACCGTCATTAAATAAGCCAGAGAAGTAACTACCCCAAACTCTCTTAATATCATGATCTTTCACTAAAAGAACACCATTGTTGTCTTTAATAAACCTAATGCTACCTAGACTCAAATTTTAATGTGCCTGGTCGTAGACAAGATCTCTATCATAGGTACCATAATTGTTTTGAGTCATACAAAATCCAGGAAGAGCGTATTCCCTCACTTCAAGCTATGGTTGAAATAAATTTTACATATCTTCCAACCCTTAAATCTTAGAAATTTGATAAACATTTTCATCTTAAACCTATTGTTTATCATCAATTAGTTCGTATTTTCTATTATAATGTGGTATGTGTCCAAAACGAGCGTCGAACTGAAACCATAGGAATTTGATCATATCTTCTGGGTCAATTCATTTATATTGACTCTGACACTATCGTAAACACCTTTGGACTATACAATGAAGGTTTAGATAACGAGAAAGAGATTGTGGCTACAGCCTATCAAGCTAAGGGTAGTGTAAGTACCTTAAGAACTCATCACAAGTGATTTCTTCACTTGATGATCTCTTGGTGGTTTAGACAATCCAGAGGTAAGTACTCCTCTCTTAGAGTCATAGATTTATGGTAGATACATTGTATCCAACATAACAATAAAATAAATTTACCATAGATTATTTTTGGTGAGCTAGTAGATACCGTAAACGTTGTCCCATCCAAAAATGTAGAAACTTTAGTTTACGTCTGTGTTCTCAGTAATCTGTTTATCAAACTCGGGATTAGGGTCACGCTTGATATTCTCATCCCTCTCCAGAACAAAATAAATCTAACATCTTTAAAGAAATCAGGATGGAAGAATGAAGGGGACCAATGGGTTCGATCCACTGAGCAAACACCGGGAGCTAGCTCTTCACGAGCTCCTCTGGCACCGGCAGCGGACGATGATCCAGAACTTCAAGAGCTATTTCAAGATATCGACGATCATGTACCCGAAGAAGAGGCGACACAGCAAGAGGAACAAATGCCTCCATACTTTCGATCGTTTGTGGAGTCATTTGATCCAAGGTTTGCATCTATAGAATCTCATCTAATTCCTATGGGGGCTCAACAATTGGAATTTCAACGGGAGATGAACGAACATTTAGATGCGCTCACACTCGAGATGCGAGCACATTATCCTCCTCCCGATCCTCCTTTGGATGATTAGACATTGCCTTGCTTTAATTTTCTTGGATCGAATTTAGGACTCATTGTTAAACATTTTGGATTATTTTATTTTGGATGTTTGAATTTGTTTTGGATGTTTAAACTTTAATGCTTATATATTTGATTTGGTTGAATTTATATTGGTTTATTAACTTTTGCATCATTCACATTTTAGATAAAGATGACCAATTTACCATTAGACATTATTTATAAATATTGAATTATGGAACTAATGGCTAACTTTTCTCTTGATTGTGATCTTAACAGCTTAAGCTATATTTATTTAAAATCAATTGGCTAAATTTTCAAAGTCTTGTTTAAAAATCTTTTTATAGAGTCTTTTTTATTTAATAAAAATTGGGAGAATATAGTAAGGGGGAGTAATTTTCAAAATTGATTTCAAAAATGATTTTTTCAAAGAAAATCTTAAAATTACTCAAATGTTTTGTTATATAAAAAAAGGGGAAATTATTGAAAACATTTTGATGTTTCGATATAACAAAATAAGTGTTATTGAATTTTTAAGATTTTATAATCATTTTTAAAGTATATTCGACTCAATTATTCGAATATCAAAATATTACTCCAAGTTTTTCAAAGATCAATTTCAATCCTTACTAAAGTGTAAAATTGTGTTTTAAACTTAAAATATTTTTAAAACAAATTTTTACAAAGTATTTCGAACCAAAATCGAGCCAAAAATTAATTTTTCAAGGGGGATGTACCGATGCACACCCATTTCGAATGCAGTTTGTGTACCGATGCACAAGTCATGCATCGATGCACTCTTGAATTTATTGAAACATCGAATGCATTTTGCGTACCAATGCACAGACCATGCATCGATGCACAGACCATGCATCGATGCACTCGTGGCTGTTTTGAAACATCGAATGTAATTAGTGTACCGATGCACACCTAGTGTACCGATGCACTAAGTCTTATAACGGTCGAAATATTTGAATTTTATACATAGTGTACCGATGCACACACGCTCCAAACCAAATTTTTAAATGATAATTACACAATAATGACTCCATCTTACCTTGTGAGATTTTTCTGTAAGTTTCCGAAATTTTTATTGTTCTATTTGAGAGAGCGTGTTCTCAAGAATTTAGGGTATAATTCTTGAGGAATTTGTAAGGTTACTCTTTGTCCTTAAAAGAAAGACAAATTAGTGAATTTGTGAAAAATCCTTAGTGTGGATAGCTAAGGTAGTGGACGTAGAATTTGGTTGAGAAAGTCGAACCACTCTAAATCGATGTGCAATTATTTTCTATTTTCTGCAAAAGCTTCCACTAAAATTTTTATTGTCAATTCACTCCCTCTTGACTATTTCGTCGATCGATTTACTCAACAAACCATGTTATTCCCCCACCAGACCTCCTCATCATATAGGAGTCGTATCAACCTAGATAACTAGTCATCCTCATCACGAAGGAACCGTATTATCATTCCTAAAGATGGCATGTCGTCATCATCATGTAGGAACCGTGTCATCGTCTGATCAGACCTCATCACATAGGAGCCGTGACACCCCTAGATAACCAACCGTCCTCATCACGTATGAACCGTGTTATCACCCTTCCTAAAGATGATCATAACTCTTCATCACGTATGAGTCGTGTCATCCACCAACCAGATCTTCTCATCACATAGATATCATGTAACCCTTAGACGACCAGAACTCTTCATCAAGTATGAACAGTGTCGTCCCCGCCAATCAAACACATCAAATCTTTAAACAAAAAAAAGAGAATCGGATAAAAAGTGATTGTCTTTTTCGTCTTTGTCCTATTCTTGTTAACACAAGAATGTGCAAAGAGAGACAACTGTAGACACTCATTTTTGTCTGGGTCAGAAAAATATTATAAATTATTATTATTTTTATTATTTACAATTACATTTTTTGTGCAAGCCTTGAAGCCCAAAATTACAACAGCCCACCAGGAGCCCAGACAAACAAGCCCAATACAACCTACCCGAGGCCCAAAACAGACAACCCAGATAACCAACCCAAACAACCCAACAAACCCAAATACAGATCCAGCAACCACTCAGTAGATCCAGTTCCAGAACCCAGTTCCATAAACTAACCCGCCCATCATTCGACCCGAATTCGGATCCGACCTGACTCCCTAAGGTTTCTAAAACCCTAACCCTAGGAATATGATGTCTGTTGTCGCCGCCTATTCTGCACTGTCACTGCCGACTGTCCCACCTGCACCGAATAGTGACCACCATCAACTCAACAATCCTTACATGTCAAATCGGGCATAGAGGAAAGTAATAAAATAACAACACAATTAATCCAAAATCCATAGGGGATTTATTTTCAGACATCAACACATGCAAATAAAAAGATGAGGAGATGCGAGAGAGATTCATTGGGGTTTTAGGGAACCGAAAAAAAAGGCAGAGTTTCAAAGAGAAAAAAAGGGAAATGATTCGAACCCAGGAAAAAAATAGATAACAACCAACAGCAAAAAATAAAACAAATACCAAAGGGAGTGAACCCTTACCTTGGTCAGAGGAGCATCGGGAAGCCCAAAAGTCGTCGGTTTCCAGAAATTCCGAAAGGTATTAAGCCTAGAAATAGGGGTTTAGAGTTGGTTTTAGGCTAGATAAGGGTGTTTTCGGGTTGAGGAATGTGAGGGAAGAATTTTGGTATGTTCCTCTCTCTCTGATCGCCGGGTACCATCAGCTTCTTTCCCGACGAGGGGAGTTGAGAGAGTTTTGTGTACTTTCTCTTGCTTATTTTTCTTAAATAAGAGAAATAATAAAGGCTGGGAAAATAAGCCCTTTTTGGGAGTTATATGAAATGATCAAAACGATGTCGTTTTGGTACACCTCCTTCAGCGTGTTTTCGAGTTATGGTATAATAGCCATGTAGTTCCTTGATCCCTTGTAATCTCACGATTTAGCCATATAATGAAGTTCTATATTATTTGATTTCGAGCCTTTATTTTTCATTACTTACTTTTTAGTCCTGTTATTACATGTTATGTTATTCTGGTTATTATTTGACTTTGGTCCCAATATTTATGAAAGTTACATTTTAGTCATTGATTTAATGTTTTGTATATTTTCTTTGATGTTTGAATTTGGCCTTGATATTTGTAAATCTTGTATTTTAGTCATTGTTTGGTAAATGGTTTAATTACTGTTTGATCCTTTAGGTTTCGGTTTTAATGCATTTTAATCCTAAGTATTATTTATGGGTTATATTCATTTTAGGTACTTGTATTGCATATTATTTGTGATTTTGGCTCTGATTTATTTGTAATTACTTTTTAGCCTTTTAAGATTCTATTTTTGCAATTTTAGTCCCTTAAATTTTTATTTTTACTATTTTAGTCTTTTAAATTTTTATTTATGCTATTTTAGTCCCTTAAGTTTCCTTTTTTGCTAATTTGGTCATTTAAGTTGTTGTTTTTCTCATTTTGGTCCTTGTAATTTTAAATATTTACTTTTTGACCATTATATTTTAGGTTGCAATATTCGTTTGTATTTATTTCAAACCATATGTATATATTTGTATGTTATGTATTCATTTGTATCATATGTAATTAAATATGTTTATCTCTATTTATTGTAAATATTTTTATTTTGCATGTTTCCAATCATCATTGTTTTAATATTAGAAAATTGAGAAATTTAATTGTGAGGAAAATCTATGAAGACTTCTCCCAACTAAAGGGAAGATGTCTCCCAATTAAAGGGAAGATGTCTTTCTGAGGAATTTTCACACAAATGTTGTTTTATATTCGATATTTTTATTTGTTTCACGTTTATTTATTTTGATTATTTTTCACTTTTATTTTGTTTTATTTTATGGTATTTTATCTTTGCAAAAAATGTGAAATAGCGTTTTTGTGAGGGAAATCTATAGGAAAGTCTCCTAAATACAAAGGAAGTGATTTCCCGAAGATTGTTCACACTTTTTAAATAAATTCAAATGAATAATAGAATCGTAATATAAATATATTTTCGAGTTTGTAATTCCCAATATTTAAACAACATATAATCGTTTAGGTACCAAAATTTGGGCGTTTTGGGTGCTAACCCTTCCCCACACGTAACCGACTTCTGAACCCTTAAAAAATGAATCTTTGGTAAAACGTATACCGTTCTTTTGTTTAAGGTTTTCAACCTACCTAATTTAATGGTTGGTGACGACTCCAAAATCAAACTGTTTTCCAAATCATATTTCATCGCCTTTCCCCTAAATTAAAATTTTTTAAATCTAACAGATTTCCAGCGGAAATGTTATGACACCCGGATTTGCACACTCCTAGGTAAAAGGCTCTAATAAGAGAAGAAGACATAGTCAACTCAGAAAACAAGGCATTTCAGTTTGTATGGAATACTCCTCGTCAATCGAAGGCCAAAATTCTATGCTGGAAATTCCTGAACAACTTTGTTCCAACTATTCATAATCTACTAATTAAAAGGGTGTCTTCTAATGTTAATTGCCCAAGGTGTGGTGGTGCTGTTGAGGATACAAGTCACATTAGCAGGGATTATACCTTCGCCAAAGCAGTTTGGACTAATCTAAACTTCAGGTGGCCCCAGGACTCTAATTTGTATGACTTCAAAGACTGGGCATTAGCCATGTTCTAAGGTAACAGTAAAGATAAACACAACACTATAGTCATCACTATATGGTATCTATGGTTTGCCAGAAACATATTGTTACACTAAGAGTAGAGGATGTGATTACCTCTATTCGCAGTCACTTAGCCGAGATTGATTCTCTATCGGCTACTCTGAGACACCCTCATACTCATATTTTGTCCCGATGGCAACCTCCTCTCCCCCCGCTATTAAAGATCAACGTTGATGCCAGCTTCTCCTGTCAAAACAAGCGATCAACCTTGGGTTTCATTGCTCGGGATGCCGAGAGCGAAATTCTTGGGTTTCATAAAAATGAAAACATCACCTCGGCGATCCTTGCTGAAGCTCAAGCTGTGGTTCATGGCCTCTAATTTGCTCTTGATCTTGGCCTCCACTCGATAGTGCTGGAAAGTGATTCTAAAGCGATTATCTCAAAAATCCAAAAAGAATCGATTGATCTGTCCGATGTTGGTCACCTGATTGGAGAGGCCAAGGCCCTTGCTAGCCAGTTCCGCTCTTGTTCGTTTAGCATTACTGGGAGAACATGCAACCAGGCGGCACATGCAATGGCCGAGGAAGGCTCCAAGTGTATAGAAGATAAGTTTTGGGTGGAAGACGCTCCGGATTCTGTCCTCCTTGCTGCAAATTCTGACCGGCATTTCATTGACCCTACTTCAAAGGCGAGGATTGACCTTCATTTTTCAGGGGTTCTAAATCTTTCATCTGGTAGTACTCCCCTGTCCCGTCCCTCTTCAGCTTTAACCTTTCATCGAGCTATTTCCTGCAGATGCTGAAAACTCCTTCTATTGAGCTTCGTTTGATTTTCTTTACGGTTTTGTCTTCATTTTCTTTTTTGTTTGTTCTGCTGGGTGTTCCAACCAGCCCGATTTTGGTTTGGTTTTTTAGTTTGATGCTTTATGTTCTCTTGTAATGGTGTCCAGCTGTCTCCCATATTATAATAAAGTGCTCAATCGAATTTTTTATTTAAAAAACATAGTGATGGAAGATTTGTGTGTGAATCTCTATTAATGTAGTGTTTGATTCTTGCACACTACCTTTATCTTAATTAATTATTCTTGTTTTTTTATTTATAGATTTATATAAATATAAAAAATAAAAATATCAGCATAATATTTACAAGTGATAAAAAATATTTTTTTCCAATTGGGTGCATATTTACTCTTCTAATATATTTTCAAATATGATTAAATATAAAATAAGTGTTCAAACTATAACGTTATTTACGAATAGATATTCAAATTATTTTTGAATGATCCTAGTGCTTAACGTTATAAACGTTATCAATTTAAGTGCTCGAGCCATTTGTAATACCCCGAATTTCGGGTCAGTGGACCCAAGAGTATTGGGCCTAAGGTGGACCCAAGAGTTTAGTTAAGTGGTAGTTTTAATTTAAGTTAAAAAGGAGATGCACCTAGATAGCAATTTACCTGTAAAGGTTATATAAACCCTTTATATCCAGAGTCATCCACGTAAAATCAACCCACCTAAAATATCTTCCTTCTTTCTCTTCATTTCCTTCTTAAGAGTAAGAAAAAGGTAGAACCTTATTGAAATCCAAGTCTAGTGTAATACCCAAAATTTTGGTTAGTGACCAAAATATAAATTTTGAAAGTTTGGTAGTCAAAGTAGAAGGGAAAGTTTAAGGACCTAAGTGATAATTTTTCTAAAAAGAATTTTTATTCCATAAATGGATAGTTTACTCTTGATAGTGGGGTTTTATTGCAATCAGATTCTTGATCTGGAAATTGTGTTAAAAACTAGAAAGTTTTAAAGTTCGGTAAAAATTCGGTAAATCGGATCTAATAGAAATTTCAGGAAAATTGAATGATGATAAATTAAGCTTAGAAATATTATTTCCATATTTTAAAATGATGGAAAATAATACGGAGCATTGGATTTGAGAATTTATTTCCATGTTCAATTTGCACTGTTGGATTTAAATGGCAAGATTGTAATTTTTGGAAAGTTGCTTGGTAAAATTGGAAAAGGGTAAAATATTTTGTTCATCTTTGACTTTGGAAAGATGATAAGGTTATATGACTTGGTATTATTGTACATATCAAATTTCATTAATGGCAAAATGGACATTTCTCATTTAATGAATATTTTATTCATTTAACCTTAAATAAAAGTTAAATTAACATGAAATTCGTTAGAAATTTCATGAAAACTTAGCCATTTTCAGCCAACACTCCCCATGAACAAGGTAAGAGAATTTTTATTTTTCATTTTTGACTAATTTTCTTTGGATTTTGGATCATGCCGTGAAATAAAAAATTATTCTATTCGAAAAAAACTCTATCATTTGGTACCATTATTGCTTGCTAATTTGATTTGTGTTCAAAGATCTCAAATTCTAGGATTTATGTTTATATTAGGGTTTATGGAATTGATGAAGGGTTTTGATGTTATTGGGGTTGTAAAATCATTTCCATGTGTGATTGATGACTAAAATCACTTGTACATGATCATATGAACATATGAAGTTTCAGCCTAACCTTAATCTTGGGAGAAAGATGTGTATTGATGAAATTAAGTTAGGGCTTTGATTTTAGAGATTTTATAAGGTTGAATCAAAGTTGATTTCATGCTTGAATCGAATCAAAATTGAGTAAAATCATGAAAACCCTAATCTTGAACATACAAAGCATTTGGCCTTGACTATAGACAATAAGAAAAATTAGGTAGGGGCTGGAAATGATGTAGGAAGTATTCTACAAGCCTTAGAAAAATTTGGGGACCATTATATAATTTTATGAAAGTTAGGGAACCTAATCGATAATTTTGGAAAAGTTTTGGGTTGTGTAATGTTTCAATAGTTGATGTACTATGTTGGAAATTAATGTTGGAGTGTTGAAATTGAAGTTAGGATGTGAAATTGAAGTTAGGATGTGAAATTGGATTATTTTTGGAAAGCTTGTAAAAGTTGAAGTTTAAATCACAAATATGGAAAGGTTGGGAGCTTAAGTGAAAATGTTATGTGAATATGGGATAAAAAGGAACTTGAGTGGTCAAGTAGAAGTATTAAGGTCAACACTTATGTTGTGACATGGAAATTGTATCGAATAAGCATCGGAAAATTTGTTAGGAATTTATTTTCCAAAGTATGCCTATGTTAGTAAGATTCTAACATTTGGTTTGAATTTGCATATGTTTGGTAATGATGTTCATTTAGATTGTGTGCTTGAAATCTAGATCAAGCAATATTAAAGCTAAGGAAAAGCTTAAGGATGGGAAATTCTAAGGAAGGTTTGCAAGCTAAGGACACCATGTGAGCGCAAATTTAATTTGTACATATGTTATATAACAAACATTGGCTTGCGATGAGCCAGTGACGGAGTTATTATGGTAATGAGTGACTCCTAAAATGTTATGTGAATTGTAATGTATGCATATATGTGCATTTGGTTAATAGAATTAGTGAACAAGTTGAAAATGCAAATTGGTGAAATCTACTTATAATTTAGTTTTGGACAGTAAGTTTAGAACATCAACATAAATTCTAAAAAATTATTAGAGGATGATTTTTATACCTTTGGATTCTTATATTAGTTTTGTTTTGTTTAGAACAAACGAAAACTGATTTCGAGGTATATACAAAAAGATATGAATTTTTAATCGAGGATAGGTCAAAAAACGGAGTAGCAGATTCTGCTCAAAATAGATTTTGTCGGTAAATTTTGAAAATTCACCATAAATTGTAAAAATTGAAATAGAAATAGTGGCTTATATGGATAGATTCGTATTTGAGTCTAGTTTCCATTGATACAAACAGAATAATTTTTAAAGGTTTATATTAATACAAAAATAATATTTCTTTAAAGGTAGTGCAAACTGCCATGATATGAAATTATGATAAATTTTGGGATTTAACCAAATTAGAAGCAAAGGATCAAGTTAAAGCTTAGTGAGGCTTATATTTTGACTTGTATATAATGTCAAAATGAGAATGCATAACATTATACACGGATGTTTTATACATCATCGGGTAGGACATTCGATGAGTCTACTTTATTTATGTTGGCATGATATTTATGTCATTCATCATATACATGACATATTCTAAATATGTCAAAGGTTGAATATAAAATGCATTGATCACTAGTTATTATTTATATGATTTTTATAAGGAATATATATGATGTTTATTATGAATGTTACTTCGGGTATGAACTACCCAATGTTAAAATTATATTAATATACATTGCCATGGATTAAATAAAAAAATAGACTATTTTGTCCAAGTAAGTCAATGAGGGGTAGGGTATAGTTGGCATGCCATAGAGTATAGCAGCTGCAGGCTTATATTAGCTCTAGTGTGTAAGGGCACTAAGTGCAGGTAGTGGGCACAACCTTATGTGTCATATTTGAATTAGCACTAGAGTGTAAACCTAGTGTAGGTGGTGGGCACGACCTTATGTGTAATATCTGGATTAGCAATAGAGGGTAAGCTTAGTGCAGGTTTAGCACTACGGTGCACATATTTGACTCAAATACCGAGGGTCCTCAAGGTTTAAATTGGGCTATGTTTATTGGTTAATAAATGGTAAATAGATAAATAAGCTTACACACTTGTGGAATAAATGGCAAGTGTATTGGTAAGAAACTTTATACCCAATTATATCATGTCAATTTATGGTAACATGGTTAGAATGCAAGTAAAGTGAACACATTGCATTTAATATTTTTACCTATTTATATTTATATGTTGCATTGCTTTGAATATTTATACGATTGTCTCATTAAGTGTATAATTAGCGTGTGATGATTTTCACGCATAGGAAAAAAGAGGAAAAGGAGTAAGGAGTTGAGATTGGTATCAATCACTAAGGAAATATTTACGGGTAACAATGATGACATCCTACTGTGTTCTAAAAGTTCTAGCTGGCATGTATATGAGAATGAAATGTCTGCAATTTCTTAATATAGATAGTATTAAATATAATTAATATTATGAATAAATATTATGATATTAATCTATGCTTAAAAAATTATTTGGGTTTTAAATCAAACATGTTAGACAATCTTATTCATTTTATGAAACATAACAGAACTGTCTATCACTGCTTGAATTTGGTTTTAAATTGGTAACCAAAAATATTATACTGCAATTTTTCTCTGAATAATTATTTTATAATAATTGTTCAAGTTATGAAACAAAATATTACTTAGTTCAATTAAAGAAATGTTTTGAATTTCTGATGTGACATCTGTAACTCGTATTGGTTTGTGTATATGGGTTATGGGTGTTACATTTATTGATATCAGATCTATAGGTTTAGCCGATTCTAGGACAAAATCGAGCATTTTTTGTGTCAAAAGTGTATACATGCCATTAGGATGTCATTGTTACCGATTTGGTGATTGTAAGGTTTGATTGATGTCACTCTTTACTAATGAAAGTGCATAAGTGTAGTGTATGTATAAGCTGTGTGTATTCGAGGTTTTAAAGAACGTGATCGAGTAGGAGGTTCAAAAATAAGTTAATAGTGATAGTAATGATGTTAACCATCATCCTCCTATTTAATCTAATAAGATCATGTATTGCCAATTTTGGAATAAGGAAAACCCTCGTTTATGCATAAGTATAGTAATGATGAAAGAATGAAACATTATGCTACAATTGATTTTAAGTGATATGTGTTCGATTAACCTTTTTGGCTAAAGTGCGAGGGTGAATCGTAATTATAGATAATAATTGTCTGGTAAGGATTCAACGTGTTGATTTATAATATAATTGATAAAATTACCTTTTGAAGGTAGTTTTTGGAATGGATTGATTACCCCCTTCCATACCAAATGAATTATCACTTAAGGCGTTTGATTTTATAGAACTCGAAAAGTTTCAAGGTATTTGTGATTGCGA